GGAGGTGGGGGGTAAGGTTAATTCGTACAAAAAAAGGCATGATTTTTGTGATTTTTTTGCAACGACGCACTTAAAATCTCTTTATTAAAACTAATGGTACAGTAAAATATGACATTCGAAGAATATTATATAAAATATTCACGAAGAAATATTAAAAAATACGGCAATGGCGGCAATTATTCGGACGTGTCTCAGAAAAAAAAGTAGAATTGTTGTGCCCCTCATAACTTGGTGCTGGATCATCTGAAATCAAAAAATGAATGTTCATTCGTTAGTTAATAGTTTTCCCTAGGTAACGCTCGGAGGGTTTTTCGAAATTTCAATTTTTTACTTTTTTGGAACACTTTGAATGGAAAAACGCGATTTTTACGAAAAGAAATCGGCTAATTTGAGCCTTCAAAGTGTTCCAAAAAAGTGAAAAATTGAAATTGCAAAAAACCCTCCGAGCGTTACCTGGGGAAAACTATTAATTTCGGAACACTTTGAATGGAAAAACGCGATTTTTACGAAAAGAAATCGGCTAATTTGAGCCTTCAAAGTGTTCCAAAAAAGTGAAAAATTGAAATTGCAAAAAACCCTCCGAGCGTTACCTGGGGAAAACTATTAACTAACGAATGAACATTCATTTTTTGATTTCAGATGATCCAGCACCAAGTTATGAGAGGCACTGCAATTCTACTTTTTTTCCGAGACACGTCCGAATAATTGCTGCCATTGCCGTATTTTTTAATATTTCTTCGTGAAAATTTTATATAATATTCTTCGAATGTCATATTTTACTGTACCATTAGTTTTAATAAAGATATTTAAACTGGGTCGTCGCAAAAAAATCACAAAAATATGCATTTTTTGTACGAATTAACCTTACCCCCCCCCCTCCTTAAAGGCACTAGAATTATGTCACAAGAGAATAAATAGCGACGGATTAAATGCACGTATACGTTGAAGTCGTTTACAAGATTCGACTGTCGTTAAGATTTTTTTTTTGCAATTTTTACTTTACCCAGCGGACGTTTGTCGAATTAAAAGATAATTCGACTCATCGATAGCGTATTTTAGTAGTCGTGCAGAAATGTAGAGACAGATGGAGAGAAAAAGAAGTTACTTTTCGATTTCCAGAAATCTTATTCTTTGAGCCTTTGGTATTTTGCTCGAAAATCCAACTTTCGCGGTTGATATGACAAAAAAAAATTTTTGGCCACGCTTTTGACTCTGTAGAACCAAGAGAGCGTATAATATGAGATACAGCCTTTTTGCATTTGTAACATGATATAATTGATTGTCTGATAAAAAATTGTTTTTATGCATAGAGACAAAATTTCATGAATAATGTCGCTTTTTTGTTATAAACATTGATGTGTAAAAGGTTAAGAATAATATTTTTCAATTTATAATTTTTTATGACTTTTGATAAATGTTTTAACAATTTTAAAATATTTATAATTATCATTCACCCGAAAAATTTCTTTATTCAATCTTTCTCCAAAGGTTACTATTCGAATTTCTATAAAGTTCTGACAAAAAAAATGTTATTTAGAAGAAAAAAAGAAACTAATAAATATGCAACAAACTTCAATAATCGAAATTCAATAATCTGCGTCGATATGTGAACGTTAATCTTGAATATTTGTTCTTGGTTAAAGAATTTTATAGTATGAAAACATTTTTTCTAGGGCAAAAAATTCAATAAACTATTATAGAAACGAATAACAAAGCTATTGTATATACTAAGATAGAAGCATATTAAAAGTAATAGTATTATTATGCTTTTTAAACAATGTTTTATTACTTTTAACGATGATTACCGTCAGCAATATAGTAATTACGTTAATAAATATCCATTACCGTAAACTGGTTTTATTTATTCACCTTAAATTCAAGTGAATTTGAATTCTAGCACATGTGATAGAGTACCGATATATTAACTTAATTCATATTAACTTAATAGTAAATAATTAAATAAATAAATAAATAATAATAACAACAGTAACACTTTTTTTAATATGTAAAAAAGAGTCTGGTAATGATAATTAAATTGCATGAACGAAGTAACTCTCTTTCGACAGTAATTTATAGAAAATAGCTGTTATAAGTATATAAATAGCTTCTCAGGTTTTTTTATCTTTAATTATGGACAAGTGGAATATCTATATAATTTATACTAATGAGATTTCAATGTTCACTCTCCTTATTAATTTATGTTTACGAGTCGTAACAAAGTATCACAAAAAAAAATTCTATTAGATAGTTCTTAAAATTTTCATGTGTGTATGACTGGAAAATTTCAAATTAGTGCTCAAAATTAATAACAATAATTTTCTTAAATTATACCTTTGTAAGACTGATTGAAATTCGTTTTAATTTTGATTTACGTATAAAGTATACTTATACTTATATGCGAGTGTATATTTAGAATGTAATAAATAGAATTAAATATCGACAATATAACATGTCATGCTTGGTCATTCAGGCCGATACCACAAATATTCCCATTCGATGTCCCGTTTTCTTTTAATTCCGATCTCGAGCATAAGTACACATAATCAGTCGTGTGAATCGAACGATAGTGTTGCTGTAAACAAGCCAATTACTCATTAAGTAAAACAACTCTCTCATACAAACAAAAACAAATTTTGGATTTGGTTTTATTTCCAAAAAGAAAATTTTCCGAATTTGATACAAATTTTTAATTACTTGATTGAAGTCTTAGGATTTATGGTGATTATTTTTTAAAAATTATTTAATTTAGACCATTAAAAATGAAGAAATTAACTATGTAGATTATTAATAGTTTAATTATTAATCAAATTTATGAAACAATTTTTTTATAGGAATTTTGTCGAAAAACCCGAAAAATTGCTATCAAATTGGTTTTTAAACATAAAGTAAACTTGTAAATAAATACCTGAGGTAAAAGACCCAGTTATTGACAGTGGCCTAATTATCGACACTTGCAGTTTTCTTTTAATTAAAAAAAAAATAAATCAACTCTAATAAATTAATAAATATAATTTTTGAATTATAAATTTTAAGATATAATTGGTTTTTTAAGAACATTTCATTTTTTTTAATTAGAATAAAATTGCAAGTGTCAAACAACTAGGTCAGTATCAATACCTGGGTCTTTTACCTTAATTATTTTTGAAAATGCAGTAAAAAAAAAATCTTTTTATTGTTCCAAATGGAATTTTACATACTAACAAACTTTGAAAAAAAGGAACTTTACTTCCTTAAGTTTTTTTACCCACTCAAGACTTATGAGCAAAAGAAAATCTCAAAAATTATAATTCAAATCCTTGTCATTAATTTATAAATAATAAAAAACTTTAACCTCTTAATTAGTAAGGATATGAATCAACTGTGAGCATCTGTCCTCTTTCTATCGTCGACTTTCTCTGTCCGATGACGCTGCCACGATAGTCGTGTTCTCTGTTGGATTATAGCGGAACTACTACGGCAATATTTAAAAATTCGAGGTTTTTTTTTTTTATTTATAAAATAATTAGCGGCGATGAATAGATAAAAATAAAATATCAATGTTTAATTTTTAATTTCTTTAATGGTATTAAATGATGAGTGTCATTTGTTCTTGGGATTTACATTCCCAATACTTTAAACTCTCATTTCTCGGAAGCAAATTCGTTAACCATTAGATTATTTAGCATCTGACGACGGCTCATATGAGCTAAATAATCAAGAGAAAGACATCGATGGGATTTAAAAGTATGTCACTTGGTACATTAAAGAACATGCGGCCTCATAGTGCGTAACAGTGTTTATAATTTTCTCATCTTTTTTTATTCGGTCCTTTTATAATTTATAATATTATAAACATTATTTTTAACTTCAGTTTTATTAATACGAACATTAATGCTTGAATAATATAAAAAATTTTTATTTATAACACCAAACGGTATTTTATAAATAATTAATTATAGTAATGTAATGAATTTATCCGAAAATAAGTTACCAAAAAATAGAGGTGAAACCGCTACAAGATACTTGAAGCCGGATTGCGTAACGGTAAACGGCATTATCTCCCAAGTATCTTGTGATTAAACTTGAATTAGTTCCTTTTTTTTCTTCAGTCATTAAATGTCAATAAAACACAACCCACATCAATAATATTTATTAACCATCACATTGATATGAATATGTATAATAGAATTTATGAATATTCAAATTCATTTTTTTGTGACAAGATGAGAAAAAAATGGTGTCAAAAAATTTATTCACTTTCATTTTCTTTGGAATTGACATACTTTTCTTTTATTAAAAAATTACAGATATAAAATTATATAAAAAATTAATTTTTACAAAAAAAAATGAAACTAAAAGTATTAGACATACTTGTTTGTGATAAATAAATAAATCTTAAAAAAAAATTTTTTTTTCTTTAATTTTAGTTAACATTCTTAATATTTCAATACATGAGCGGTATAAATCTTAAAAAATAATACATAGATTGATCCCAATAGAAAATTTAATTTTTGAAACAATTATGAGTTTAAAATCTTTTAAATAGCCCGCCGTTAGATAAGTAACGCCATCTAGGGCATCGAAGGACAAAGATATTAACGCTGTCTAGCGGCAATCTTGAGAAACTTTTAATTACAAGTAATTTTTACCATCTTACTTGTAAAAAATGTTCAAGAAAATTCAATGAAATTTCGAGGAAATTTACGATGTAAGTGAAATTATTTTTAATTGGGTATAATTCAAGAATTTTTTTTTTAATTCCTATGCGTAGAAAATTTAATAAATTACGCGTGTAAATATTTCAATTATTTTTTTATGATAATTTATAAAAAAAAAATAATTCAAGTTAGTGTCAATTTAAATAAATAAAAAATCCAACTAAATACTAAAATTTATTTAATAAAAAGAGTATTTCGAGGTACCAGTAATTAAATTAAATTAAATAGAAGAAAATAAATAAATAATTAATTAACAGAACAGAAGAAAGATTTAAAGATTGTAGATATTTTGGTGGAGATCATTTAAGCCTGGGCTTGGACTGGCATTTGTCCGCTGTAGGCTAATTGTTGGGCATGTTGATGTACATCTTGAGGTAAGCTTCTCGCCCATCCATGGCCACTGGAGGAGCCGCCACCTCCATATCCGCCGCCGAAGTCACCTCCACTGAAGCCACCACCACCACCACCATGACCTCCATCGTCGTGGCTGACCACATGGCTAGAGCTGCTGCTGTGGTGAGGGTGAGCGACTACTTCATAAGTCACGTGCTTCTGTCCACCGAGCAACTTTTTCAATCCGATGATTGCTGATATCACGAGCGCTATTTTACCGACTAGAAGGGCTTTTCCGGCGATAAGGGCTATTGTTCCCAGCGCCAAAGGCATCAAAGCTGCGGCTTTTAATGCCATTGCCATCATTATCGGACCCATCATTTTCTGCTGCTTTTCTGTAATTAATTAACGATTTTGTTATTAGTAATTATGTTCGTTAGACACATCCGAGCGGTTGGTTATTGAACATGTTAATTATGTAGCTAAAAACTGTTATTTATTTAATAAGCGCTTTTAAATTTATTAACCGGTAAGTGGATGGTAGTAATTGGGAATTGTTTTTTATGCAGTGAAGAAACTGGTTCGGAATGTTTGATTGAACGTTGATGTTCAATTAGTTGTGATTTAAAAAATGAATCATCAAGTTTTGATGTTAAAATTAACGGAAAAATCTTCAATGTGCTTCACAATTGATAGTAACTCCACTTTTTTGGTACATTTAATAAAAAAAATAGTCATTTAATACACATGAAGAATAGTTTATTACACCCCTTGGGAAGGAAAATAAGAAAAGTCTCAGATCACACGTACCTGTTGGCTGAGGCGAAGCCGAGGTCAACAAACATGTGATCTAAGGTTTTCTTTTTTACTTTCCAAGGGCTGTATACTATTATAATATTGTTCATGTTTACACAAAAAAAAAAAAAAAATTAACTTAAATCAATAAAATTTCAAAGAACTTTATCGTCTTAATTTGAGTAAAAATATTTTTAAACTAAGAAATTTTTCTTGTTTCAAATAAATTTTACTTCATTAAGAACATATAATACAGTCTAATGTCGGTAATTCAGTCTGGACTAATAGTGACAACAAATGCCAATTGAATATATCGGTTTGTTTATTTGAAATACATATAAAGTTCACTGAAGGAGGTTATCAGACTGACTGTAAATACTCCAAACACTGTTTAAAAAAATTAAACTATTAGACAACGTACTTTTGGCACTCTCTTGCGGTCTGCATAAAAGTATAGAAAATGAAATTTTTTGTTGATAATTAGTTTTCTACCCTAACTTAGATGCATTTTAATAATTCTGTCTTTTAAGTAATCTAAACTCAGACGAAAGACTATTACTTACATATTCCTGCCAAGTTTCATGATTTTTTATTCAATAATTACTTGGCCAAGAAGCGTCTCAATATTTTGTTCAAAATTTAAATATTCCCTGTCCTATACATTCTTAAAGAATTTTTTGTCTAGATTCAAAACAATGAAACTCTTCATAATTATTTTGTGGGTTCAAGAATTTTTCTCTGGATTAAATAGTACATTTCTTACTTAGGGCAGGAAAATAAGAAATGTCTCAGATCACATGTAATTGTTGATCTGAGGCTTTCGTATTTCCTGCCCGTGGTGAGAAATGTACTATTTTTGTTTGTGTAGTTGACTAAACATTTAGAAAATTAATTAGTACTAGCTGTACTTCAATTTCAAAAATGAATTTTCAAATTTTCTAGAATGTTTCCAAGTAGTTCTTACATCTTTCTAAGAAATTAAACATTATAAGAAGTAATATTTTTCAAAATCAATAGATTCATTTATTTAAGCAAGAGTGGAATTTTGGAAGTAATATTTTTTTGAGGTAAGGCATATTATTTATATTATTTATATTGAAATAAAAAGAAAAATATCCGTGAATTTTGATGTTGATAATTACTTTTTAAAGGACATTATTCGTAAAAAATGATAAAAAAGGGTTTATTTTTACTTTGAAACATAAACAAAATTTATATTAGTATTTGAGATCAATGGTTATGTTAATTAAGATTAAGCTACAAATTCAACCCTCAAGCTAAGGAAAAAACAAAAATTTTTATAGTGTTTATCTATAATTTTCGATATTTTCTGATATGACCTAGTATTAAAATTGGCCACATCAGGCCTGATAAGATCATAGATGTCCAATGTCCATATATAATTTTTCAAATGAAATTAGTGTAAAAAATCTTCGACAGAGCGCACATGATCGCTGTATTATCTTGCTTCAATAGGGTTAAGCTTGAGGTGATAAGCTCTAATATAAAATCCACTTTTTAACGAAACTCCTAACGGTTCTTTCCAACTTTTTTCCACACTCTAAAAGCACTGCGTACATATAAGTGCCATTCATTTATGACTATCAAAGATTCAAATTTGTGTCAGGTTAAGAGCAGGGAACAAAATCAAAGAAACTAATTACATCAGTAAATATCTTTGAAACTGAAACTGATTTTTTAACTATCTTAACACGGAAAAAAAGTGACTTTAAAATCTCATCAAGTGATACAAAAATTATATCACCTGTGAAGTCCACAGAGGTGATCCTAAATTTACATCACCCGGGGAAACAATTTTTGTATCTAATCTATTTTATCCCTTGGAGTACACTGGGGCCATTTTGACCCCAGATTTTTTTTATCCTAAAATAATTCTCGAAAATAGGTTCGTTTTTAATTAATTTTTTCAACATTAAAAACTGTTTAATTCAGCATAGTAATGATTGTGTTAAAAAGAGCATTGTTTTACCTACCAAAAATGTAATAAACTGAATTCTGATAAAATGCATAGTTTCTGAGATATCATTCTTCGAAAGTCAAGTGGGGTCAATTTGACCCCGTGTGTACTCTAAAGTTCTGTTAGAAGGTCTGTACTTCGAGGATTAAATGGGACTAACTTGACGATAATATACGTACCCTCAAACCTTGAAATAAATTTTTCGAGACAATATTCTTTTAGCATTGAACATACAAAATTATCGGCCATGTTATTTTCACGTTTTTTTGTAGCAAATTCTTAATAAATAAAAAATTACATACGACACGAAACATCAACAACAAATATGACCTATACAATATTCAGATGCATGCGTGTAGGGCACGCATAATTTACTTCACTGTTATGTAAAATCTACATCACGGTGATACAATATTTTTATCACTTCAATCCAAAACACTCGTACAATTGGATTTTTACATCATTTGTGGTGCAACTTTTAACCCGTTGAGGTCATTATGGGTCTAAATGACCCAAGGCAATTTTTGAGTTGCTCTTGCTTCGAAGATATCATTCAAAATGGTATCTGTGGTATCATCTATTATTGTTTGAAGATTTTTTGAGGTTCATGGAAATTTACGATTTTATTTGCACAAATCATATTTGCACAATATACTTTGTGAAAAGCTCGACATGACACCACTTTTTTTTTCAAAGTATGCGATATCCGTAGTAGAACCCCGGAGGTCATTTTCATTTATCTTAAAAAATGAAGTTTTTAGTAAAAAAAAGTCAAATTTTTCGAAATTTGACTTTCTCGCTTTTTTTTATAATTAAACAATTAAAGAAAAATTAAAAAACGATTGAGTTATTCAACGGAAGTGTTAAGAATTACTCTCATGTACGGCTCGAGTGAAAATATTGACAAGAACGCAAGTAGCAACAATTTTTTCCGTGCATGGGGTCAACTAGACCCAGTATGACCATTACGTTATTTTTAAGAAGTGTGATCTCAACGGGTTAAATCATCTTTTTTTCCGTGAAGAAACTTATCTGATATTTGTTGTAAGTTTCATTAACTATTAAACTAATTTCAGGTTAATACATGTAAATTGACGTAGACTTCAATAGACGTTAGGAATTTATTGTTTATTTTCATAAATGACCATATCAACCCACAAAAAGTCATATTAAGCTAGATCAAAACATATCAGAAAATTTTCTCATAAGCTCTAATTGTTACAATTTTTTAAAATGTTTTATTCTACTTTTGTTCAGTAATTTTAAACATAAAAGCTTATTAGTTAAACTGGGTAATTTTTATATTATAAATTATAACAAACTCCCCTTAGCTAGGCATTACCCGCCGGTACCTTAGTTATTTGAATGAAGCATTTAATTACACACTGATAGAAATTTTAGCTTGACTCAAGAGCAAAAATCTTGAACCAAGAACACTAATTGGAAGAAAATGAATTTCTTGAGCCAAGAGGAAAAATTCTTGGATCAAGATATATTTTCTTAACTCAAGAGAATCTATCTTGACTCAAGAATTTTTCCTCTTGGCTCAAGAAATTCATTTTCTTCCAATTAGTGTTCTTGGTTCAAGATTTTTGCTCTTGAGTCAAGCTAAAATTTCTATCAGTGTGTAATTAAATGCTTCATTCAAATAACTAAGGTACCGGCGGGTAATGCCTAGCTAAGGGGAGTTTGTTATAATCTTGATTCAAGATTTTTGCTCTTGAGTCAAGTTAAAATTTCTATCAGTGCATTTATACCATCTTAAATTAAAAAATAAGGAATCTAGTCAAGTATCAAAGCACTGCAAGTAATAATAATAATAATAGTAATTTAATACTAAAATTCCAGAACTTTCGAATGATAGAAGCGAAAACATAGAACATGTAATTGCAGACACGGGAAGACTAGACAAGAAGGCACGAATTAAAAATGACAAGTGTGCAATTTCTATAATCACGTAGATACGAATGTGGAATAGGTGAGGTGAGGGTCAAGGTAAAGTACCATGACGACAACCGGGAAAAGAAAGTATGTCAAAAATCCCGTCTTACACTCAAACATTCTTACGAACTTACAATCTTACAGTTTTAAGGTAAGTATAGTACAGGATCTATCTCCTACACGTCTTATTATCCTGTCTTTCTCTTTCTCTTTCTTCTTCATACTTTTTACCTTCCCACACATTGCTTAGTAAGTACTATACACAGCAGGATAATTGATAGAGTAAGAGAAAGAGAAAGAGAAAGAGTTAAAGTAACCTCTCACCGTCAAATCATGAATCATGAATCATGAACCTCTGTTTTATTCAATATTTATAATGTTCAATGCTTAAATGTGACCGTGTGAGACAAGAGTCAAGAGCAAACGGAACCAGTTCCTCAGTGGGTCAACGGCATCCTCGGCAACTTTATACCACCTCCTCCTCCACCAACAACACCGTCGATTACATTACATATGAACGTACCTTACTTATGTGTGTGGTAATATGTTGTAAATGTATTAACCATAAGTTAATAATATTAGCGTGCATGCATGATTAATTTATATGCGAGTCCTTAAATCTGACTGCATACTGGGCTACATCTGTATTTATGTTTATGTTTATATGTTTACATGTTTATATGAGAGTACGGCAAGTTCATAATTTATTTATGGGTCACGAGTAATTGGTTGATCTTGTGGATCATAAAATTTATTTTTATATTTTACATTTAAGGACTTGGATATTGATTATGATCATAATATTTTTATGGTATTAACTAGCAGTCGCTGATTAGTTTTTTATAAATTGAGATTTAAAAATTAACTTGATTTAAAAAAGAATTTTTTTTTTATATCAATCATATAACTGACAGGAGCACTATTTTGTCCGAAAGTATAGTTACAAAAGAACAGAAATATACCCCGCTAATAAGTTTACAAGCATCGATGAATAACATTCCATACTTGCAAAGATCGACTCCGCTGTTAATCTTACAGCTTTAAATAAATCATATTATTTTTAGAAAGAATTTAATTCATCCAAGAATATCATTTTAAAACGTTTTATTATCTTAGATCGAATAAAAAAATTATTTAAAAATTTTTCGACATTATTCAAGATGATCAAATTCTTCAAAATAACATTTTTAGTTCAAGAATTTTTCTCTCAAACAAATTAATTTTTATATCAGTGTAGACATGTAGATTTTTTTGAACTGTAGGACATACTTTTTTGGTCATTAAAAATTGTACTTATTAAAATTTGAGTCTACTTAATTTTTGCAAATTAACGTAAAAGAATCAAGTGAAATTTATTATGAAATTAATGAGTATAATGATAGTAATTCATAAAATCCTGCACATTAATTTAACTTAATAAGCGAATTTAATTATTGTTATTCATAAATGCGGCGACCCATTACCGGAACGGTTTCGTGAGTTGTTTTATTGTAAACTAGTGGATACATATAGATATTCATAACTGGTTATCTAGGCAATGAAAGTACGGACTTTTATTTGTAACCTTGAAGGTATTGATAACTAAATATTTGAACTTGATAAAAATGTACTTGGCAATTTGTCGTGTTATGGTGATTTGATTTTTTTTTGGCTTTAAAATTACATTTAAAATTTTTTTCCTTAAATTCTATAAAAAATCAAATAATTTTAAAAAATAAAATGGTTTACATTGAAAGAATTTTTTTTTTCTACAAAAAAATTCTAAAAATTCTTAGACTCATTTACACGCATTCTATTAACAATTATGACTCGCCATAAAATTTTTGTAAAAAAAACTAGAACACCATAAAACTAAACAATTACTAAACACTTTCCATGAGTCTACATTAAAAGTTTTTAAATATTAATTATAATAATTAGAAAAAATCAATAATTGCAAAATTAATAAAAGTGCATTTAAATTATAAAGTTAATTCACTATCACTATTTATATTTCCACCTCTTTTTTTTCCCAAAATTTAATTAGCTTTTTAAATGTTAGCTAAAAAATAATAATAAAAACCACAAGTCAAGTTAAAAAAAATTAATATTGAGGTTAACATGCCACAAAAATAACTTTTTTTTTAATTTTTAATGCAAATAATTAATAGAATAACTAACAAGTAAACCCAAAAAAAAATTATATTAAAATTCTAATACAAAAATTAAAAATCTTTTTAACAACCAAAAAGGATTATCAATGGCTTAATTCACAAACGTTTTTAATAACATGCATTTACATTTTCATTCATTACACGTGTAGTTAAAAAAACGAATTAACTTTTTGAAAGAACAAGTAAATTTAATTTTGTGAATAATTATTTTTAATGAAACCATGCACAGTTATCAATCAAAAACCATGTGCTCAAAAAATAATCAATTCGAAAACACTTACTCTTTTTACCCCGTCCTTCGACAAGGCTATCACTGAGGTCATCCAAGCTCCTTCCAGCAGATTCAACCACCCCTAGAATATCGCTGCCCTTGAGGTCAACTTTAATGGAGTGTGTCTTGAGGAACCTTCCCACCCTATCAAAAATCAGGGTATCTACATCCGTCGAGTCGATAGATCTGAATAAAAAATAACCATCAGCCATCAACTTTAATAAAGAAAATCGTAAAATGTGACCCTCAAAAACATACCTAGGTGCACCTTCCTCTGCAGTAGAAGTCTTGACCACCGTAATACCTTCCGACAGGGTGATATCCTCTTTGTCCGTGAGCATTTTATCAACAAAATTAAAGAACTTAACTTTGATGCAGTTAACGGCATCATTTTTGCTGCAGTCCGAGTATATCGTTGCCATTAGGTCGTTGTCCCCCGATTTGTTGTCGGCGGGGAGTCCAAGGACCACGACCGCCATAATGGCCCACAATATTGGCACAAATATTCTTCTACCCATTGTTGACGATTAAAAAAAAATGATAATAAATATTCCAAGATATTTATCCACTTGTGTTTGACTTCAACAAACAAACTTATAAATAAATAAATAAATAACAAGTAAGAAGTGTCGAGTGGACAACAGCTCCTTGCTTAAATAAATAAACAACTGAGCGCGGTATGTGACACAGGATAGTGGCGTCGACGTTGTTATGTTGCATCTAAAAGAGGTTTGGTTTGCTTTTATACCAATGTGGACGAGGGGATATTAAATTGTGGTATGTTGTGTAGTGGTACGATACATACGGGAGTTCACGGGGACTCGCAGACTTACTCTCAAAGATTGCCCCCCACTCAGAGCTGCAGGAGTATCATCATCATCATTATCATCATCAGGAACAGCAACAGCAACAGTAAAAGAACAAGAACAAGAACAAGATACTGGTATCTTGGCTGCTGCTTCTTTTGTCTTCCGTCCTTCTCTTTCCTTAATATTGCTTTAGCCGCCCCTCCAGCTCCTGCTTCGCCGGGGCTACAATGAGAGTGCAGAAGAGGGATATGGTAAAGAGGATCATCTAGCGACCCGGTCATCCCTACGTCTTTCTCCAGTTCACCTTCACCATTCAGAGAACGGATTAAAGTTGAACGAGATAGGAGAAAGAAGATCGTCTAGAGAGGAAACGAAAGTCAGCTGATGGTGATTATCAAGGCAACAAAAGATTGTGAAAGGATTACGGTTAATGGCCCTTCAGTTTTGGTGGTTAAGTACCGAATTTTAATTGATAGAATAACAAGATGAGAAAGATTTAAATGGATTCGGCTTTAATTATGCCTGTCCTACGGTCATCATGTCGTGGGACTTCTTTCACTTGGTGCTGACATGTAGCAGACCTACTTTTCGGGACTCGAGGTCAGAGGATGAGAATGTCAAGGAAATTTGTGCGGATAGTTTGAAAAATTTTAATATTGTGAAAAGGGAAGGAAAATTTTTATAAATTAAATTTTTATAGTAGAAGGACTATTAAAAAAATGAAATTAAATTTTTATTGCGAGTTTATGTTAAGCAGCGCTTAAAGTCAATTTTATTGGATAATAGATTGAAATTATGATGAAAATTGTAATTTGTAACCTCAATATCACAGTAATTATTTTAAAAAAAGTTATTCAATTTATATTTTATACGTGGTTCTATTAGACCATGAAATAACAGTCCGTTCAACCCCGCATTTTGCTGCATCATAATAATTACTATGTGTGCTCAAAACTTATTAACAAGCTTTGGTATAGAAATCACTTAAGGTTATTATAATAATTTTAGTGCAGCATATTTTTTTTAAAGCTTCTATATTTTTGATTTTAATTTGACCGGATAAATAAAAAAATTCTTCAAAGTTTGACGTCTAATTATGAGTTATACAGAAATTTTAAACTTTACTTTCTCTGAAATGAAGCTATTAACTTTTTTAAATTTAATTTTTCTAAAAAACTAATTATATAAAAAGATTTTTGATTTGTTTTTAACTTCCCGCTAAAAATCTCAGATTTTCAAAAATCGGGAAGTTATTGTTTTCACCCCGTTTTACAAAAATCGAGTTTTCATCAGATCTCGACGTTTGAAGGTCACAGGAAGCTTCCCTGACTATTTTTACGATGATGTCCGTACGTCTGTATGTGTGTGTGTGTGTGTGTGTGTGTGTGTGTGTGTGTGTGTGTGTGTGTGCGTGCGTGTGTGTGTGTGTGTGTGTGTGTGTGTGTGTGTGTGTGTGTGTGTGTGTGTGTGTGTGTGTGTGTGTGTGTGTGTGT